GGTGGTACTAACTTCAAGGGGTCTCGTCAAAGGCAGACCTGTCAAGGCTCCAGGGTCACCTTGGGCCTCCCTGCTGGCCAGCGGGAGAAGCACTTAGCTGAAGAAAGCATGAAAAAGATGATTTTCTCTTGAAGAAACGGGGATAGGAAATGTCCATCAGAGAGATTGCCCGGGTCTCTTCGCCTGTGACCCTCCCCTTTCACCTGGCTGCTTTGATCTGAAGGGCGAGTCCCTCCAGTGCTGGTCTTTGGTCTGCGCTTCACGGAGGCACAGGATTGCCAATTACCAGGCTGAAGGCCAATATATCACTCTGTCTCCAGCAGTCACAGCTCAGATAGCCCAAATGCCTTCCATCCAAATTGGCTCTAGCGAACGTGGCCTTTGCCTCCTTCTCACTCTGCATCCCACAAGAAAAAAATTATGGCTGGGGCTGGGGCTGATACTCAGCAAAAGGCACTTGCTTGCCTGGCATGCTCAGAACCTGGGTTCCATTCCCAACACCAAAAAAAAAAATAATGGCAACAAAACATAGCAATAACCATTAATACCCAACAATCTCCCCAAGGTATGGAGAATGAAATGAGACAGGTGTTCAATAACCCGTCAGAACCTTTGAGCTTTGGCTATCCTGTCTCATCTGTACCGCTTCTTTCATAACATCTGGCTTGATTTATAGCTACCATCCTCACCATGATTTCCAAAATAGTAACAGGGCTGCCTCAATGAACCCTCAAGTTCTAGGGAGCCCGGGACTGGATCACAGAGGTTATATTTGTGACTTTTGGCCTTAGCTTATGTAAATTCAAATGTTGCTTTGGATACTTAGAGGCTGGGTCATCTCAATGCCCAGTGCCTCAGTTTCCCTGTGAGACACTCAGGGGCGCAGACAGTGGGGGAACAAACCAATCCCTGCACTGTTAGAATAAATGAAGTAACCCAGGTAAAGGGCTGGATTTATTACACGAGCGGCATGCGATGTGTGAGCCCCTCCATTGTAAACTCTCAATTGGATTGGCGCGTGTTTATGTGTTTTAGGCATTCATTTATGCGCTAGCCATTGCACACAAGTTCCTTACATAATATCACTTGAATCCCAGCAGGTCTCTGAGAGAAGTGTCAGCAGCTCCGTTTTGTGCAGAGAGAGAGAGAGAAAGAGAGAAGAATCTCAGAAACATAGGTGTCTTAACCAAAGTCCTTGCCTTATGAAATTCATTTTTTAGAGCCTATGCAGTTTATGTTTTTTTCTTTGTAAAAACAGGATAATTTTTTTCTTTTTCTTTTTTTTTATTGTGAAAATACTGTACAGAGGGGTTCCAATTACATGGGCAAGATAATGAGTACATTTCTTATCAAGCATTGTAGCCTCCTCCTTTGTTTCCCCTTCCCATCCTCCCCCTGCCCCCCCACCCAATCCTCCCCGCTCTCCCTCCCCCTGCCCCCCGCATCAAAGTTGTAAAGTTCGTTTTCAACATAACGACTTGTACATCTCTTTTTTTTTCAATTGGAAACAAATTAAAAATTAAAGCTTTGGGCTCAGGTCAAGGAAGGGACCCCAGAGCTCTGCTCCCTTCTCTTCCCCCTTGCTCATCAAGAGGCTTGGGGGTCAGCCTCATACAGCTGAACTTCTCCCCACCTCCATGACGACAATTGCTGTGGCGCCTCAGCTTGCAAAGGCTGAGGGCAGATGCCACAGGGCACATGTGCCTTCTACGCTCAGTTCCTCCATCAACCATCACCCAGGATGAGTGCTGGCTGACTGAATCACAGACCGTCCCAGCTGGACCAGCAGTTCCACAGGACCAGGACCACCTCCATCACAGATGAGGAAATAGAAACCCCCATAGAGGAAGCAGCTTTCCTAAGGCCCACACCACCATTCCGACTCAGCTGGGCACCAGATGTTTCCTACCTCCCACCCCAGTCCTCCGATCACACGTGCTGAGTGCCTTCCCACCGCCCCTAGCTCTCTGTCCATACCTGGACAGCTTCTGTATGTCCAGAGAGGCTGTTTCTCCCTTCATAGTTCCTCTCTAGATTGCCAGCACCAATGACCACACGCCCAGCTTTTCTTTTACTGTTCCCACTGGGGTGATCTGAACACACTGAATACCAGGAGAACTTCACACGGAGAGACTTTGAGACAATAGGCTGCAGAATCCAGCTGTGCTGTGCCTGAGACCAACCTCACCAGGAGCCGTTATCAAAACAAAACAAAACAGGGGAAAGTGACCAACATGGCTACAAAGCCTACCAGCATTTCATTCCCATAGGGAGTCCTTCTGCAGCAGTATCTTTAGGTGTTTTTCCAGCCACATTTATTTTTCTTTGCCGCACTGTTTTATCCTTTCTTGTTTAAAGGAAAGAAATAAAGAGAGAGAGAGAGAGAGAGAGAGAGAAAGAAAGAAAGAAAGAAAGAAAGAAAGAAAGAAAGAAAGAAAGGAAGAAAGAAAGAAAGAAAGAAAGAAAAAGAAAGAAAGAAAGAAAGAAAGAAAGAAAGAAAGAAAGAAAGAAAGAAAGACGGACAATAAGGTTGCGAGTGTGGCAGGAAATTGAGTGATCTGTTTTCGTTTTCCTATCTATTTTAGGGTTGAGACATCCATTCCTGTATTTGAGGGTGATGGGTTTGGACTTGTTAAATAACTTGAAAATGGCAAAGCCATGTGCTCACTCACTAACAGGGTTCTAGGTAAGGCTTAGGAATAGCCATACCATTGATGAGACTCGCTGGCTGAGTACATGCAAGTATGCAGGATTTTGTAGTGAGGGCAGAGTTTAGAACCCTATAGTAATTTATTATTATTATTGTTATTATTACTACTACAACTACTACTACTACTACTATTTGCCAGTCCTGGAGCTTGGACTCAGTGTCTGGCACTATCCCAGAGGTTTCTTATGCTCAAATCTAGCAGTCTACTACTTGAACCCCAGCACCACTTCTGGCTTTTTCTGTTGCTGTGGTACTGAGGACTCGAATCCAGGGCTTCCTACAAGCTAGGCAAGCCTTTCTACCACTAAGCCACACTCCCAGCCCCCATAGTGATTTTTTTTAATTGTGAAAATACTGTACAGAGGGGTTACAATTACATGGGCAAGATGATGAGTACATTTCTTATCAAGCATTGTAGCCTCCTCCTTTGTTTCCCCTTCCCATCCCTTCCCATCCTCCCCTCGCACCCCCATAGTGATTTTAAAGACATGTCTGTATGTAAAAAAAATTATCCAGCATTTCATTGTGTATGGGTTATCTTCAGTAAAAAGAAATGCATCATAAAAGTACAGTGTTCATTCAGATGAAGGTATACTCATTCTGTGTGAAATGAGCAAGCAATTTGGTACAATCCTATATGAGACGTTCAACAAAAGGGTTGGCAAACTACAGCCCATGGGCCAATCTGTTTTTGTAAACAATGTTATTTTAGGACAGCATGGAGTTTGTTGTTTGTGTATTGTCTGAGATTGCTTTGGTGCTGTGTGTTAGATTGCCCAGGCTGCTATAACACAAGCAGCACACGCCGAGTGGCTTAAACCACAAAAATCTACCACCTTACAGTTCTGATCTTGGCTGGAGGTTCAGATCAGGGTGATAGCAGGGACCAGGTTGTCTCTCAGTCTGTTTCTGGCTTCTCCTGGTTCCAGACTTGCAGCACCATGGCTCTGTTCTTCACATACACAGTGTGTGTGTGTGTGTGTGTGTGTGTGTGTGTGTGTGTGTGTGTGTGTGTGTGTGTGTGTGTGTGTGTGTGTGTGTGTGTGTGTGTGTGTGCGTG